CAAAAAAAAAAAAAAAGTACAGCTATATGCGTGTGTATCTGACTGGAATTGTATATTGAGGACTGATCACTGATCCCAATCTGTAAAACAATATAAGGACGGATCCCTCTGGAGCATGATTTTTTTTTTCCCCTGTACCGGGGATTGAACTCGGCACCTTGTTCTTGGGAGGCAGGTGTGGTGCCAATGAGCTAAATTCCTGGCCTGCAGCATGAATTTTTTTTCTTAAGGATTTGAGGGGCCAAAAGTTACACAACTAAGCTTATAATTTATTATTTTGTGGTGTTGGTGATTGAACCCAGGGCTTTACAATGATTTAAAACTTGACTTACTTAAAACTAAAACCATATATCGTGGAAGAGAAAATAAAATCAGTGTTTTTTGTTTTGGGGTTTTTTTTTTAGAAATAAAGCTGATTTAGGGCCGGGGATTTAGCTCAGTGGTTCCGGCACTTGTCTCACAAGCACAAGGACCCGAGTTCTATCTCTGGTGCCAAAAAAACAAAAAACAAAAGAAAGAAAAGAAATAAAGCCGATTTCAAAGGAACATTTTGTGTATTGAGTGTAGAGGGCTACTTGCTCTTGATTGGAGCACAGCCCCTGTAGATATAGCCATTCAGTCTTCTGGGTTCTGCTTTTGTTTTTGGCAGTAGTGGAGAATCAAAGAGTTGGTTCTTAGAAAGAAATAAATAGACAAAACCTTAGGCAAAACCAAAAAAGATAGAAAAGAACAAAATCAACATAATTAGAAATAAAAAGGTGAAATCACAACAGACTGTGACAAAACAAAAAGGTTATTAACTGTTTCACAAACCCATACACTGATAAATAATACAGAAGATAAATTCTTAGATACATGTGAATTGCCAAAACTGAACCCAGAATATTTTAAAATGCAGAATAATCCAATAATGGGCAATGAAATTGAAGAAGTAATTGAAAACCTACCAATTAAGAAAATCATTAGTTAGGATAGATTCACTGATCAACTCTACAAAAATGAAGACCTAACACCAAAGCTCCTCAGATTCTTTAATGAAGTTGAAAGGGAAGGCATATTCATTCCCAAAGTCACTCCTGGAAGCTACTATTACTCTGATTCTAAAACCAGACAAGGATCCAACCAAAAAAGAACTATAGAGCAATCTCTTCAGTGAATATAGATGCAAAAATTCTCAGCAAGATGCTGACAAACATCAGACAAGAAATCATCAAAACAAATTATACATCATGATCAAGTAGGCTTCATCCCAGGGATGCAAGAATGGCTCAACACATGTAAATCAATAAATGTAATACATCACATAAACAGAAGCGAGAACAATAATTACACAATCATCTCTATAGATGCAGGAAAAGCCTTTGACAAAATCCAACATCCTGGCCAGGGATTTGGATCAGTGGTCCCGCCGCCTGCCATGCAAGCTCAAGGACCTGAGTTCGATCCCCAGCACCAAAAAAAAAAAAAAAAAAAAAAAAAAAATCCAACATCCTTTCATGATGAAAATGAAAATAGTGAAGAGCTATAGAAGGACCTTATCTCAATGTGATAAAAGCCATTTATGACAAACCTAGTGGTAAAATCATATTAAAGGGGAAAAAAAACTCTAAAATCAGAAATAAGACAAAGCTGTCCAGTAACCACTTCTATTCAACATAGTCCTGAAAGCATTAGCAAGATCTATCTAATATATATATATATGTATAGTCAAATTGTAACTATTGTAGCTAGCAGAACTGCTCCAACTAGGGTAAGAATGATAGGATAATTGTTTTTAAAGTGAGGGGGAATACTTTGAAGGCAATGAGTGGCAATGACCTAAACTTTTTTGTTTTCCTTTGTTGAGACAGGGTCTCACTGTGTAGTTGAGACTGACCTGGAACTCACTATGTATCCCAGGCTGGTCTCAAACTCACAGCGATCTTCCTGCCTCAGCCTTCAGAGTGCTGGGATTACAGGCATGTGCCACTATGCCCAGCTGTCCTTTAATAAAGTTTGTTTTTTGTATTTTTTTTTTTGTACCGGGAATTGAACTCAGGGCCTCACACTTGCAAGGCAGGCAGCAGAACCACTGAGCTAAATCCCCAGCCCAGTTTAATAATTTAAAAAAATGTTTTTAATATTCACCCAAAATTTAATGACCTCATGTACAATACTACCTTTAAAGGGGATAACATTTTAATACATGCTACAACATGGATGAACCTTGGAAACATGAAGTGAATGTTTAAGTTAAACCACATACAGAAGGGCAAATATTGTATGACTTCACTAACATGAATTACCTAGAATTAACAACTTCTAAGAGACAGAAAATAGAGTATACCAGGGGCTAGAAGTAAGAATGGAATTGTTTAAGGGGTATAGAGTTTCTGTTTGGGGTGATAAAAATGACACTGCTACGTATCTAGCATCATGATAGTTGAAAAACTGTAGAAGGTATAGTAAGGTAAATCACAGCTGGGCATGGTGGTCCAGGCCTGTATCTCAGAATTCTGAGAAGCTGAGTCAAGAGGATCACAAATTCAAGCCTAGCCTGGGCAACTTAGTGAGACCTGGCTTTAAAAAAAAAATGTTGTGGAAATGAATAGTGGTGATGATTCACAATATTGTGAATTTACCTAATACTAAATTGTACTCTTAAAATGGTTAAAATATTAAATTTTATGTATATTATCACAATTTTAAAAAGCAAACCAAAAAAGGGGGAAAAACTGAGTCACTTCATTTCAATATTGAGGACTGAGGCTTTTATAGTTTCATAGTCTCTCTTTTCTGCTCACTCCTACCCAAGGGAATTGGAATTTACATGCACAAGCCTTCTGCTCCATTCCTTTCCCTCCTTTCCCAGCTTGTCATCATTGTCCAAACTCTTAACACGGCTCCCAAGATAGGAAGAAAGCAACCAAAGTCTCTACTGAATCCATCTTCAGTCGAAATGCCAGACACATCAAATTAATGGGTCTGGGACAGAAAGCATCCTGAGGCAGAAACAGCCAAGATTATTGGGGAATTACTTGGGATTAGTCTTCTTTCCCAACTATACCCAATACTTTCTTCATCAGTCCTTCTTGAGTGACCCTCTCTATACCCATCCAACGCTCTTTGAACTGTGCCAAGAGCTGCTGGAGCTCATGGAAAAGAGCATTAATGTCACTAACATGAGGTACCTAGAGCAAGTAAATAATAAAAGACAGCATCTAGAATAGAATATATAAGGGGCTGGAAGAAAATGAGTCTAAAATTATTTATTCCTTAAGAAAGTGGCATTGAAGTAAACTGAAGATTGTAATTCTTTTGTAAATTAAGCTCTCTGAACTAATTGTTGCTACTTACTGTCAGTCATTCTTCCACCCATTAGAAATACAACCCAGTTAAATCTGAGGTACAAAGAAGCGAAATAGGCACAGATAAGCCATCTTACAGATGTACCAGTATTGTTAAGAGGAATATGATGCACAAGTTATGAGCTCTAACAGAGCACAGAACACTGCACCAGTTAACCAATTTCAGAGGACTGTAATTATTTCTGCCAATTTCCATTTAGCCAACCACTGATAGAACAATGCTTTACTTAGTGAAGAAACAAAAACAGCATCAGCTTTTTTGCGGGGGTGGTGGGTGGGGGTGGGGGACTGGGGACAGGTTCTCACTATGTAGTTGAGACTGACCTGGAACTCACTATGTAGCCCAGGCTGGTCTTGAACTCACAGTGATCCTCCTGCCTCAGCCTCCCAAGTGCTGGGATTACAGGCATGGGCCACCACACCCGGCTATCAGCTTTGATAATGTGTCTCAATCCCCTTTGGACAGAGGGTACCATTACTCTCTAATGCAGGACCATTTATAAACTTCTCCTCTTCTGCCATAGAAGGACCCTGTCTTTTCCCCTACTCCATAGATAGAGTAGTGGGGCTAACTGAATGCTGTGTGACATACACTTCACCAGAACAAAGGAGTACATACTGGCTCTTCAACAGAGGAAGGCATTCCCACACAAGGCAATAAATCCAGCACAGGCTATGTGGGCTTTTTGTGTTTTGGTAAGGAAATATTTCAGGCCCAAGGTCCATGCATAAGTACCTAAGTGGGGGTCAAGAGTGTATGCATAGGGGCCGGGGATTTAGCTCAGTGGTTCTGCCACCTGCCTCACAAGCACAAGGACCTGAGTTTGATCCCCAGTATCCCCCCAAGAGAGAGTGTATATTTCCCAGCAATGGGTTTATAATCTCACATTGTCACAGTGCTGCCCAATATTTATGGAGCCTTAGAAATAGGGTTCACTATGTTTGGAGAATTTCCACAGCCAATGTAAGTTCAAGGAACAACAATGGTGAGTGGAAATTGGGGCGATGATACTCATAGCTGAAGCAATGAATTGGACTTTCTGACCTGAGGCTTTACTGAGAGGTCCTGGAAATTCAACTTACAGAAACCCAGGAGATTCAGAGTGGACTCCTATTTCCAGTAGTTTCTTCAACTGTGTCTACCTTGTAAGGGGACTCAGAGATGAGCGTGTAACTGTGACAACTGGAATGGCAGCTTGAACATAGTAAGTACCCACTTACCACTCTTATAGCAATTCCAACTCTTCCTTTTCTCCCATTAGTACCTAACAGGGAAAATGGGCAAGATTTCTCATTCGTCCTTCTAAATCATGTGGTTAAGTCTAGATTTTTCTTCTCTGGAGAAAACTTTACGGAAGTTACCATACAGGAGAAGTAACAATGAAGGAGTCTGAGATGTGTGTTATGTAACAAGTGCTGTGGTTTCTGAAGAGGTTGAATATATTTTACCCCCTTTCCACCCATGGATCACTACCCAACTGAGATATATGACAAAGAACTAAAGACAAATGGAGGTCAAGCATCATTTTTATTACAGATTAAGACAAGTTGGAGGTCAAAGGTCAACATGGAAGCCTAATGAGCATTCTGAATTTTCCAGCTTCAGTCAGTCATAGTAACTATGATATTACCTTTAACTCAGTTCACACCCAAGGATAGAATCACCTATCTCGTGGCACACCAGAGAGCATGGGAAAATGCATGCTCTATGCAAATGGACAGAATCCATGGCAAAAGAGAACAGTGGGATCAGGGGAAGTCTTTTTCCAAACGCTGTATGAGTCTGAGTCCAATCAGAGGACAGAAACTACACAGCAACTCTTATTTTACTTTAATAGCCTAAAGCAGTAAGAGTAGTGATGCTGGCAATTTGGATATGCCAAAGGTTTAATATTATTTCCTTAATTAAAAGGTAAAAGTTCTCCTTCGAAGGAAATAAAATCATATGATGAGATTGTAAATTCTATGATAACTTATTGTTAATCTCTAATAGTGCTTAATTTACAAACTAAACTTCATCACAGGTGTACATATTTTTAGGAAAAACATAGACAGCTGGCCAGGGTGGTAACTCCAGCTACTTTGGAGACTAAGGCAGGATGATCCTAAATTCAAGGACAGCCCAAGCAACATGATAAAACCCTGTCTCAAAATAAAAAATGAAAATGGCTGGGAATATAGCTCAGTGTGAAGCCATGGGTTCAATCTCCAATAGTGCCAAACAAACAAACAAACAAACAAAAACTTACAGGATTAAGAACTACCTAGGGTTTCAGACATCCACTGGGGGCCTTCAAATGTATTCCCCACCAATAAAAGGGAGTATACCTTCCCCAAACCTCTATCATTTTAAAGAAAATATCACTAACAAAAGAATGAATATGTACATTATGAAAATCCAAAATTAACTAATATTTTGTTACATTCAAGTGGAATCCTCCTTTTTAATGAAAATAAATATTTAGATGCAAAATTGAAGTATCCTTTCACTACTGTGCTTTGTCACATTTCCTTTCCTCTTGCCTTCTTGTCAGAGGCAACCACGTTGAGGAACTAAGTGTGGATCTGTCCAATTCATTCTCTGCAGTTTTATATAAAAAGGGTTTTTGGGCCAGGGATTTAGCTCAGTGGTTCTGTTGCCCACCTTGCACGCAGGTCCCGAATTTGATTCACGGTACCAAAAGTAATAATAATAATAATAATAATTTTTTAAAATTTTTTTCCATAATCAAATCTTAGTACATGGGTTGGTTAGTGTTGATTTCATTCAAAACATACACAGATATCATTTACAATATGCTCATCATTTAGTTTTCTTCATTCCACATGATTTCTTCCTTTTTTACTGTTAATACATATAGATTTAATTTGCACTAAACTGCTAATAAAAGAATATTCTATGGCATAACTGTATCACATTTTATTCATCTATTTCACAAACAACAAACACTTGTGTCCAATTTTTGGCTACCATAATTCATACTGGAATAAACAGACTGTGCAATGTTTCAGATTTTGAGGTCTATCTATTGATCAATTAATCAAGACCAATATAGATAGATAGACCCAAGAGTAATTGCTAAGCTAGTGTTGCACACCTGTAATCCCAGTATTTGGGAGGTTGAAGTAGGAGGATTATAAATTAAAGCCTCGCCTGGGCAACTTAATGAGACCCTGTCTCAAAAACATGGGCTGGGTGGATGTGATGTAGCTTACTGCAAAGACAATGGGATCAATTCCCAGTACCAAAAACAAAAAAGAAATTGCTAAAAATCCTGGGGCCTAGTTTAGAAATTTTCTCCTGCCCCAAGATTGAAAACATTCCCCTATAAAATTCTTATATTGTTCCACTTTTTGCATTCTAATCTTCACTACATTTTTAAGATATAAATATTTTCATGTACAATGATGGCAGAGATCTATTATTTTGCCATATGAAGAATTAATTACCCTGAGATCATTTTTTGCAATCCATGATTTTGCTACCAATCTGAGATACCACCTCTATCAATTACCAATCTCCCACAAATTCAAGCATTTCTGGATTCAATTATCTGTCCTAATTTCACTTTTCTACAACTGCAAAGCAGTAATTTTGATGATTATAGTTTCACAAACTTCCTATGTAGCAAAACAAGAAAGTAATTTTGTCTAATTTAAAATCTCTGTATGTCTCATATTGTCTTAATGCAGCTAGTAGGCCTTTTAGGACCATGCTAATTAATGTCCATTACTGTGTCTTAATTGTATGGAGAATACTTCTTAAAGTTTAGTATTAATAATGTTTATTGTGAAAGTTATAGGGATATAGACTTTCATTATACTGACACTTATTAGTTTTGAGTTGCTGCAGAAAAACTTCCTACATTTATGTCTCTTTAATGTAAAACAAAACTTGAAATATTATTAAGTGTAAATTCTGCTGAAGCATTTCCTAAATCCAAGGCATTCATAGAACTTTAATGAGTATGAATTCTCTGGTGTCTAATGTAATGTGACTTCTGGCTGAAAGCTTTCCCACATTCACTACACTGATAAGGTTTTTCACCAGTATGGATTCTCATGTGTAGACCAAGAGTTGAGAACTGAGAAAAAGCTTTCCCACATTCATTACAACCATAGGGTTTCTCACCTGTATGGCTTCTCATGTGCACAGTAAGAGATGAGCTTTGACAGAAGGCTTTCCCACATATTTTACATTCATAAGGTTTATCACCTGTATGAATTCTCACATGTACAATGAGTGATGTGATCCGTGAAAAGGCTTTTCCACATTTATTACATTCATAGGGTTTCTCTCCTGTATGAATATTGTGATGTTTAATGAGGTATTGCTTCTGCCTGAAGATTGTTCCACATTCATTACATTTATAGGGTTTCTCTCCAATATGAATTTTCTCGTGCTCAGTGAGATTTGATTTGCCACTGAAGGCTTTCCCACATTCCTTACATGTATAGGGTTTCTCTCCAGTGTGACTTCTTTCATGTCTTATGAGGCCTGACTTCTGAATGAATGCTTTTCCACACCCTTTACATTCATAAGGTTTCTCTCCTGTGTGGATTCTCTGATGGCTAATGAGGTTTTCTTTCTGGCTAAAGGCTTTTTCACACTCATTACATTTGAAAGGTTTCTTTCCACTGTGGATATTCTGATGTTTAATGAGATGTTGCTTCTGGCTGAAGGCTCTTCCACACTGATTACATTCAAATGGTTTCTCTCCAGTGTGAATTTTCTCATGCTCACTGAGGTATGATTTGCTATTAAAAGCTTTCCCACATTCCTTGCATGCATATGGTTTGTTTCCTGTATGATTTCTCTGATGCCTGATGAGGACTGCCATTTGAATAGGTGCTTTCCCACATTCAGAAGGTTTTTCTCCACTATGATATTTCTGATGAGAAAGGAAGTTTCCCTTCTGGCTAAAGGCTGTTCCACATTCATTACATTCATATGATTTCTTCCCTGTATGACTTCTCAAATGTAGTGTAAGCGATGAGACCTGAGAGAATACTTGACCACATTCAATACATTCATGTGATTTCTCTCCAGTATGCATTTTCTTATGTTCTATGAAGTTTTGTTTCAGGCTAAAAGTTCTTCTACACTCCTTACATTCATAAAGTTGCTTTCCAGTATGAATTTCATCATGCTGAATGAGATCTGATTCAGGCTGAAGACATTCCAACATTTTTTGTCATGCACAGGAACTTTCTCCTAGGTTCCCCTAGTATCTACTGAGATGCATTAAGGATGGCAACTTTCTAACATTCACTGATATGAATGGTTTCTTTTCAATATTAATACTCAGGTATGGTAATCAAGTTGAATTTATGATAGAAGACTTTTCTTGCATTGATTATTCTGAGATGCGGTGATTATATAAAGGGATGAAAACAGCATTCTCTTTATATGAATGTATCTTTCTTATACACTATCATGTTTAAATTGTACATAAATATGAATTTTGTTTCAAACTCTCTTAAACTAAGTCCCATACATAGAAGTGTAGTCCTGAAATCAGTGTGTACCACTGCAGTGTCAGTCAATGCTCAGAGGAAATACTTTCCTGTTTCTTAGGTTTTCCGAGTTTTTCCTTAGTATATATTTTCACAGAGAAAGATGAAACATAACTCACAAGTCTTAATGTTGCTTTCTCGTCTGCTTATGAACTCCCAAAGCTTCTTCTAAAAGAGAATATGAATAAAATCATCATTAAAAAGAGCTTAACAAGTGCAAAAATTTTGCTACCTGGCATGTAGTAAGCATCCAATAAATTACCTTATAAGCAATACTAATAACTGAATTTTCCCACTCATCGTTAAATTTTCAGAAGTATGTTGCTAAAATAGATATTCAAGCCTGGTCTCTCATTCTAAATAGCAAGCACGAATACACATAACATTCACTGGTATATAACTTTTTTTTTTTTTTTTTTTTTTTTTGGTACTGGGGATTTAACCTAGATCTTTGCAGATACAGACTATACAAACATTCTATCACTGATGGTGACAACCAATTTAATAAAATCACCAATGTAACTTTTATTAGGATGCAGAAAGATGGGAAGTATGGGTGCTGGTGATAACATTTCTGAATTATATCTTTACTATTAGTAGTCAGAGCATGTCTAAAATTGATAAATCAAAAAATAGATGAAATAGCTATATAAAATACACAAATAAACATGAGCAGACAGTTAAGTGAGCTGCAGGTAGTTTCCTATGTGGAGTAAACACTGAGGATGAGAAATACAGAGCAAGCATAACTGTACAGTTTTCCCTTGGTATCCACAAGAGATTAGTTCCAGGACCTTTGTAGAGAGCAAAACATATGGATGCTGAAGTGCCTTGTACAGAATGGCATATTTGCATGCAACCTGTGCATACCCTTCCATATACTTTAAATCATCTCTAGATTACATATAATACCTAATACACTATAATAAATGCTATATTTATAGTTTCCATACTGTATTGTTTAGGGATTAATGAACAGAAAAAATCTGTTCATGTTCACTAAAGATGCATTTTTTAAAATCAGTATCAGGTGGGTTGAATCCACTGATAGGGAACTCATATATACTGAGTGCCAATTATACCCCTATTTGGCATTTAAAAGGTCCTACTCATTATACAGACAGAGTAAGCCTTGCAGATTTGGTCTTTTCACTTGAACCCATCTGTAACTATGCAACTGGAGACAGTGCTCTTTTAATCTAGTTGTGATTGAGTCTCACATGGGCTAAACAACAAATATGCATATATTTCATGACCAAAGAAAAGATAAAAAAGCCAACCTCTTTGTCTTTAAGTATGATTTACTATAGTACTTTAATTACTTTTATTATCCTTTCTAGATATAAAAAATGTTACTACTCTCAAGCCCTGTCTTCATTTATTTCTCTGGTTTTATTTTGCCTGATTTATACTGATATACAAGCCCTGTTCTTATGAAGAGTCCTTGTTTTGCTCTCTCTCTAAAACATACTTTCTGTCCTCTAGCTAGAAAGCTTCAACATTATCTTGATCCTTCCCTCTCAACATTTTACCTTCATTTTCTTATAAATCATTGCAAGATCTCATAGCAATGCTGCAACTTCCATTAATTAGAGAAAAATATGCCTCTGCCCATTTACATATCACAAAAATTGACTCAAAATTAAGCATAGACCTAAAACTATTAATATGAAAGATAAATAGTGAAATAAACTCGATCTAAAGTAAAAACTAATGTCCCTCAAATACACAGTGAAGAAAACAAAAAAGTGCCAGGTGTGGTGGTACACTCCTGTAATCCCAGCATTTGGGAGGCTGAAGCAGGAGTGCTGTGAGTTTGAGGCCAACCTAGGCTACATAGTGAGTAACCTGAACTGCATAGTGAGACCCTGCCTCAAAAAGAAAGTCACAAAGCAGAATAAGCTGATAAACGAAGATTAACTAGTAAAGGGCTTGTATCTCGAAATACACACACACACACACACACACACACACACACAGAACTCTTGAAATTAAATAATACAAAGGCAATTAATCTTTTTAATTTTTGGTTTTGTTTTGTTTTTCTTGTTTTGTAGTGCAGGCTAGCCTTGAATTCATTACGTAGCCCAAATTGGCCTTAAACTTGCGGCAATCTTCCTGCCTCAGTCTCCTCGGTGCTGGGATTATGTTTAGCTATTAATCTAGTTTTAAAATTGGAAAACAACTAGAATAAACATTTTACAAAATAAGATATCTAAATAGCAATTAAACATGTTAAAGAAATTCATCTTTTGGTAGCACATGCCTGTAATCCCAGCACTCTGAAAGGATGAGGCAGAGAACTAAAGTACAATGAAGAGGCCTGGGTTCAGTCCCTAGTACTGTGCACAGCCCAAAAACCGAGTTTATCTCATCTAGTAATCAGGAAAATACATATTAAAGCTCCTATGATACACTACACCCATTAAAATGAAGTTAAAAGGACTGCCTACATGGTTATGAGTGCATAGTAACAGTACTCGTACATTGCTAGTGGGAATGAACTGGTACAGCCACTTTGGAAAACAATTCTACACCTTGATTGGTTATTGGTTGTATGATTATATGCAATTAGCAAAATTCACCAATACTACTCTTAAAGATGGTGACGTTTTAATGTAAGTTATACTTTGATGAAGCTGAAAAAGAAATCCTTCTAAATTGCAGCTTTGCCATAATCACAAATAATTTAATAATAACTTTGTGCTCAACAGTGTAAATAAGAGCCAAGTGTGGTGGCACAACTGAAATTCCAGTATCCCTCGAACAGGAGGATTGCAAATCAAGGCCAGCTCGGGTAACTTAATAAGACCCTATGCAATAAAAAAAAAACAAAAACAAAAACCTGAAGACAGAAAAATAAACAAAAAATTTGAGACAATTAAGGTATTTCATTAATGATTAGCCTAAGACATAGGCGACTTAACATGTGAATTTTAATAAAATGTTAATAAATGATAGTATTATAACTTACTTAAAAATTTCTAATTACTTTTAAAATTCATTAAATTGGGGGAAATATGATGCATAACAGATCAGGACTTAAAGGTACTATATTCCCAATGAGAAAATTAAAAATTATATCTCTTTTGTAATTGAAGCACCTCATATCTTTATAGGTATATTAACATCCTTCACACATACTTATTAGAACAGAATTTTTCATACTGAAAATGGCAATGCTGAACTAGGCAACATCTAAATATCAAGGGGAAAAAAGAAATATCAGGAAAAATGGTCCTTTCAATAGCATTTATCTTGTGGTTAAAAAATATTTTAAAAATATAAAAGCAGTGCTCTAACAGAAAGGAAACTCTTAATTGTATTCTTGTAAATGGTGACCTGTTAGGACAAGGCTTAGTAAACTATACCACACTACCTGTTTTTTGTTTTACTGGAACATGACCATATTCATTCTTTTTTTTAAAATTGTCTTTGATTATTCTTGGGCAAATACACCTGAGCTGAATAGTTATGAGATCCTATGACCTATCAAGTCTAAAATACTATCTGCTCCTTTATAGAAAATTTACTGACCCCTTGTCCTAGATTAGTGATTCACCCTCTTTCATCTGGCCAGAAACTGAGACACATTGTTGAATCAGCTCTAATCTCAACTTAATATAGATACAATCTGGAAGAAACCTTGATCCTTAAATGACAAGAAACACCAAAGTTACTATGTGTTACAGTTTACATCTAAAATGTTCTCCAAAAGTCTCCTATGTTCAGAACCACTTAACAGGAGGTGATTGGCTCATGGGGGCACTATAATTAAGCATCAATGGATTAATTCATTGATGAGTTAACTCATGAATGTGTTATTAGGAGGCAGGGCCGGTTGGAGGAGGTGGGTCACTGGGGTTGTACTTTTGAAGGGGGTATCTTTCTGGAGCTTTTGCTCTCTGCTCTCTCTATTCTTCTTGGCTGCCATAGGTTGACTAGCTTTCCTCTGCCAGGCCTCTCTGTCCTGCCATTTCTACTTTGGAAAAGCTGACCATGGCTTGAACCCTCTGAAACCACGAGGCAAAATAAATCTCTCCTCAAGTTGCAGGTGTCAAGTACTTTGTCCCAGCAACTGGAAAGCTGACCTACATAATGCAAATGTGGGCTACTCACCACGTTATGTGACCAAGAAATCAATTCCTACACTCCTTAAAATGGTACATTTTGAGGTTTATTATAATAGTCACTTAGCTTCACATGATTAGCACACTCATTAGTCCTGTCCCACTGCTTTACATATCATGTATTGAGATGCCTAACAAATGTTAATCACCAACCTGGACCTGACTGACACATCCAACTGGCTACTCACCATTTTCACTTGGATGTCTAACAGGGGTCTAGTTGATCCTGCCCCAAACCAAACTCTTGCTCTGCCTCTCAAGCCAACTCCCTCAAATTCTTCTCTCTCTAAATAGCAACCTCATTTTCCCTTTTGCTCAAGCAACACTTCTCTTTCTCTCATAACACAGAGCTGTTACATCTTCATATTTTACTGGCTTTATCATAAAAATAGACCCAGGATCTGGCTATTTCTCTTATCTTCACTGGTACCACCAAGATCGAAGCTCTGTTATATCTGGTTTGAATTATTTAATAGGTTCCTCACTGGGCTCGATACTTGTCTTTACAACAATCTCAGCAAAGCAGGTACAGTAATACTGTGCAATCTAATCATAATACCACTGTTTGAAAGCTTTCTTGTATACTCAGAAAAATATTTAAAAGCACTTGTAAGTTACTGTTAACAATGGCTACTTCTGAAGATCAGATATAAAAGAACTAAGGCCAAGAAATGAGGAGACACTATTATCTTAATTTTCTATCAAATACATGTACTAAATTTTAAGAATAATTATTCTTAAAAGTAATTGAAATGAACTAGTACAAAGACAGAAGTAATTTCCAAGACTGTTATTAAAAGTTGGAGGTGCAGAGGATACAGAAACGACCCCAAATTCAACTATTTGATCTTTGACAAAGGGGCAAAAAACATACACTAGAGGAAATATAGTCTCTTTAATAAGAAAACTAGCTATCCACATGCATATATACTAAACTAAAATAAAAATGGATCGAAGGACTAAATGTTAAAACAGAAACACTTAGCCTGATGGAAGACAAAATAGGTAAAGAACTTTTTTGAACAGAATTCCAGTTGTACAGGAAGTATTACCAAGAATCTACAAATGGGGCCAGACCAAATTAAAAGCTTCTCTGCACAGCAAAATAACAGAGCAAAAAGAAAATCTACAGAATGGGAAAAAAATTTTGCCAGCTATTCCTCAGACAGAGGACAAAATACTACTATCTAGAATATATAATGACAGGCTGGGGATTTAGGTCGGTGGGGTGGTTTCACCCCCTACCTCGCAAACTCAAGGACCTGAGTTCAATCCCCAGTACCGGGGGGAAAAAAAAAGTATATAACGAACAAATAAAAGACCAATCAAAAAATAGGCAAGTGAAATGAAGAGACATCTCACAGAAGAAGTACAAATGGCCAATACATGAAGAAATGCTCAACATTACTGGCCATTAGAGAAAAGCAAATTAAAACACTGAGATTCCATTTTACATGAGAAAGAATGGCCATCAAGAAATTAAATACAGGCTGGGCATGGTGGCACACAACTCTAATTCCAGCACTTGGGAGGATGAAGCAGGAGGATCACTGTAAGTTCGAGACCAGCCTGGACTACATAAGGAGTTCCAGGTCAGTCTCAACTACATATTGAGGCACCCTGTCTCAAAAAAAAAAGAAATCAAATATAGTGAAGTCCCTAGCTTATAAGTGAGTTCCGTTCAAGAACATTCTTAAATCATATTCATTTGTAAGTACCACAGAGTGAGTCTTAGACACCTTTAACACAAATATACAATGTATATTGCTTTGAGCTTCCTAGCAGTCCTCTCCACATCACCACTGCTTTTCCTCTTGCTTCCAGAGGTCTGGCCTCTAACTGAGCGCTGTACTACTAAACATTGCCACACTATACATAAGCACAGAGCAGTACAACTGGCCTGCAGACATATGAGCTACTTCTGCGATTTGTTTATAATGTGAGGACCCTACCTATCTGTGAAAGTTCGCAACTCAAATGTTTAAGTCTAGGAATGACTGTGGTAACAAATATTGGCAGTTAGCAAAAAGGATCCCATCTGCACTGTTGTGGGAATGTAAATTAGTACCACCGCTATGCAGCATGAAGATGCCTCAAAAAGCTAAAACTAGAAATTCTATTTGATGGAGCTATTCCCCTCCTAGGTATTGTCTCAAAAACTTTAAAGACATCATATTATAGGGATACAGGCATACCCATGATTATAGCAGTACAATTCAAAATAGTTAAATCTTCAAAGCAGTCTATATGTACATCAACAGATGGATGGATAAAGAAATGTGGTGTATGTACACAATTGAGTACTACTCTGCCATAAAGAAAGATAAATGTGAATTATTTGGATAAGGAAAATGAATGCATCCTGAGACCATAAGTTAAGTGAAATCAAATACCTAAGCTTAAATATTGCATGGCTTCTTAAATGAAAAACCCAAATTATAGGTGAAGAGCAAACTAAATGATAGATAATAGGAAGTATGAAGATAGATATTTCTCAAATGGGAAGGGGATCAAGAGATGAAGGGAGGGAGGGGAAGGAAAGGGTATGAAAAAAGGAACTAAGATATATATATGCTGGTACCAACTCCATACAAGAAATATAAACATTATGTACTGTATCATGTACTAAAGTTTTTTAAATAGGTGCAGAAATCTTAAACTGTGATAGCTAGAAGAAAACAATAGGAAATAAGATTAATGAGGTAAAATTCATCCTAATAACAATGAAAGGGAGGCATTTAAGGAAAAAAATCTACATGCTAATTTTTCAAAGATTATAGTCCATGAAGGTTTGCTTAAGAAAATGAGCTAGATGTATAGCTAGAAGCAAAAAATGGAGAATGTTGGAAGAATAAATAGGAAAGAAGCTACAAACATTAAGGCTGCAAATGAGGTAGAGAGGCTGGCATCCAAAGTGGATGTTAGAGGAGCAACCAATTTTCTAGAATCTGAGAAAAGGAAAGCATCAAAAAGATGATTTTGTTTTTAGGTACCGGGGATCAAACTGGGGCCTCTGTGCTTACAGAACCTCTGAGCCAAATCCCCAGTCCCTGAATCAGAAAGATTGGAGATGTCACTCAGTTATCTAAATAATTCCCAGCCAGGCGTGGTGGCACACGCCTGTAATCCCAGCACTCAGGAGGCCAGGCAGCAAGAGGATCGCTGTGTGTTCGAGACCAGCCTGGGCTACATAGTGAGTTCTAGGTCAGTCTCAGCTACATAGTGAGACCCTGTCTCAAAAAAAAAAAAAGAATTCCCAGTAATTGCCACTCCAAAAGACATGGGCTAAAAAAGAATCACCCCAAAAAATTTTTTTAGATATTCCTAATTTTCACTACATAACAGTAATGACCCTTTATTGTGCACATACTTGCCAGATCCTCACTTACTCACCTGGAGAGAAAGAACTTTATATTTCTTCTCAATCATCCATTGTTCAAAGCTTGAATTGGTGACTTTAAACTTGTGAATGAATAGAAGACACAGGACTTGGATGTGATGATTGAGGGTCAAAGTAGCATCCCAGAATTAGGCCAAGTCCTTAGACCCCGCAGAAATTTTGAAGGGTATGGACAGTGTAGCTCCTGGGGATACACAGAAAGCTAACCTGTGAAATACGTGATGAACCTTGGGTATATGCAGACATGTGAGCAAATGAATCCATTATACCATTTTAAAACACCACGTATTTCAGGTATAGGAAATAGATTATTTTTACAATGTAGGTTACACCAAGAAACTATGAGACTAAGGTAATCAAGAGTTCTCCAAAATCACAATCTCACCTTTGAACAGGAGACGCTTGTGGCCTTGCTCCAGATTAAAGCCAAATATTTGAGTATTGCTTTTCTCTCACATTTTTTTCTTATAAATGTGAGGTCACTAACATTCAGCAACACTGACAAAATATATAGGAAATTATTCTGATAACATCAGAGCTCTTGAAAATTTCAGGCATAGTATCTTACCTAGGTTAGGTAATTCTAGGAAAAATTAAATGTAACAAGTATCCCACAATTATATTGTACATTTGCTGATTCCGCAAGCATTACGTATCATAAAAAAACCTTGGTTCCCAGTTTCTAATAGGGTATGACTGATGGATGAAACAGTCAACCTTACTCAGAAGCTTTTTTCTTACACGGAGAAGCCTTAGAACCTAGATGGACAGCACTAAGAATTATGGGAACAGGTATACAGAAAGGGGAAATGAATGGAGATAGACTGTGAGAAGGAGCTATCAGTATGTCATTTTCAACATGAAAATAAAAGTTTCTGTGTAACCTCCATTTGGAGCTGATCATTCATTAGATAGATGTACGGATTAGGAGCTTGGAACACGCCTTCAATAAAAACTCACATTTGTTAGATATCTGTGTCATATGAAACCAAAGCAGTGGAATGTTGTTGCTAATGGAGGATTTGAGGGGAAAAAAGATGACCAAGGTCAGAATCTTAGGACACTGATATGAGAGGGACAAGCACAAGTTTGCCTTTTTGTAACTTTTACCATTTTTTGCATCAAAACTACTACTTGTATAAAAATTCCTGTGTTCTGGCACTTTACTTTTTCATCTTATTGAAAAATATGTTAAGAATACGTGTGACAGAATACTTAAGAATGTTTTTGGGGACAGAACATTTTCCCTTCATTTACAGAGAACTGGGTATGAAGAAAAATAGTCAAATTAGAAGTGAGACTCTCCTGTCCTTTGACAAACTAATAGTTTTAATAGGTTTCTTGAGCTTTCTGCACCAAAGGCTGCTGTGCGCACTAGTAAAACTGCCTCTTAAAGCTATTTCTTATTTCTGGGCGTCTCAAAGCAGCTCGACAGAAGTCCTCCAAAGTATTTAGATAATATCTACTGTGAGTCTAGGCATCCAGTAACAACTTTTTTGGAAACATTTGTTCCTTTAAAAGGGGGGGGGTGCTTGTTTCCTTTTATTAATTTCACATTGGGTCTGCTTTTTATATAAAAATCAATTTTTAAATTACTTAGGCGTTCAATTCCTTAGCCTTACACCTTTTGTATTTTCCAGGAAAATACATCTTTATTGTTTTAGAAATGAGAAAACTGAGGATCAGAGGTTACCGCAGCACAAATCTACCGCCTCACAAACTTGGAACCAGTTTCTCACTAACTGCGATCCCACACTCACCCTCACGCCCCTGGCCACCCACCCGGAAACCCACCCGCTTCCTCCCGTACCCTGCCCCCCATGCACACACCCCCAAGCGCTCTGCAAGTCCCAGGAGAGGATCCCAATCCCTTGGGCCTCCCCAGCCCCTTCGCAGGCGACGCGAATCCTCCCCGAGAGACTCACTGGTCAGGCTGAGGACCCAGAAGCCCAAGACCCATAGAGCGGAAACCGAACTCACCCGCAGACAAAGAAGACGATGGCGAGCCAGAGCGCCTGCGCCTGCGCACTGCTTGGGCGAGCTGCACTCCCAGCGGTCTCTGCCAGCTTCGGCTCAGAGCCCCGCCGAGCCAACCGCTGTCGGCCCGTCCTCCACTTTTGCGCCTGTGGACTACATTTCCCAGAAGTTTCAGTGTTTCGAGTCAGCTTTTCCCGGGAACTTTCTTCCGCCGGAGCTTGGAGGACCGTCTCCGCGGTCGGGGCAGGAGTGTAAGCAGGACTCAGAACATTATACCTGTGTTTGACCCCTGGGAGAGGGCAGCGGTGCCAAGGGGTAAGATAAACTCTAGAAACAGTAATCGCACCTGTAATTCCTGCGCTGAGTCAGGAAGATCGCAAATTCGAGCCTAGCTGGAGCAATTTTGTGAGTAAGCAAGATACTGTCTCAAATAAAAAATTTCAAAGGCCTCTGAGGATGTAGTTCAGTGCAGAGGCCCTGGGTTCAATCTCCAATACTGCACACAATGGTAATAGCTCAGAGTCGCTGGGCAGACTTTATGAAAAGAGCGCGGGAGTGGGACAGTCTTGGGCACCCTCTGCTCCAAGGTGTCCCCTGAGCTACGTTCCCCGGAGGGCGCAGAGTCCTCAGTCTCCGAAGAGAGCAGCCTGACAGTCAGCGCGGCCTCTACCTAGTGCACGATCCTGGGCTCTTGTAAGGCTGGAGTCTGTCTTTGCGTCGAGCAAGTACTCTTTCTGAAAAAGCCTTTTTCTTCTAGCTGTACTTTCCCTTTCCTGAGCAATACCCTCACTTTTTGTCTCGGTGGCGTAGCTGGGGTGGGAAGAGGGCTCTCGAACCTCGAAGGCACGTTTTTGGGGCTGTATTCAAATAGGTTAATACATTCGGATTTGTTAGAGGGTGGCGCTAGAGGCACAAATTCTGGATACTTTGTAAAAGCCCACTCTTTTGAAAGCTCTGATTTCAACACTCTCTCCTCTTCTGAACCCATCACTTCCTGAAGTCCATTCCCCTTTCCTCTCCTCCCTGTCCTCCTCCTCCTCTTCCCCTCCCCCAAGGCTCTCTTCCTTCTCACTGAAGTCTCCTCTTCTTCCTTTTCCTCACTCAGATACTCCCTTTCCGCCATAAGGCTCTCTCTGCCTCTTCATTTGGGCACTCTTTCTTCTTACTCAGCCTCTCTTTCTTTCAGTCAATCCCTTTTCCTTTTGAGGGGCTGAACTCTATTTCCGTGTGTGTGTGTGTGTGTGTGTGTGTGTGTATACCAGGGATCAAACTCAGGACCCTGCGCTTGCTAAGCACTAATTTAAATCCCTGGCCCCATTTTCCTATTCTTAGCAAAGTTCTCCAGTTTCTCTTCACTTGAACTCCTTTTTCCTTTTTCTTTTATTTTATAAAATATCTCTTTTTCTTGGGCAAAATCTCCTTTCTCCTTCTTAAACTTTCCTCTGTTTTCTCTCAGGTGAGCTCTCAGATAAGCCCTCAAAAGTTTATCTCTGATAGTCTCTAATAACCACTTCATTTGGGTCTTTTCTGATTCATTCTCCTCATTTTTTCTCCAGAAGTTCTAGTTACTTTTTCTTTCTAACAGATTTTACTCCTGGGCTTTCTTTAATACAGTCTTTACTTGGGTCATATCAAATAAAATCTTGTCCTACAGCCAGGGATTTGGCTCAGTGGTTCCGCCATCTGCTTCACAAGCACAACGACCTGAGTTCAATCCTTGGTACCAAGAAACACAACAAAAATATTGTCCTGGACCTCCTCTAATAGCCTTTGGCTCTCCTCCAAGCTCTCTTCATGTTCAGTCTTTGGTGGCCAGTCTGTCATCTTGTAGTTTTCTCTCTTTCTGAGCCTATTCTGTCCTCTTCCCTGGTTATTTCCTCACTGGGCCTATAGATTTCAATTTCTCTTCTTCCCATAATGAATGATCTCTCTTCCTCAGTTATTTGTTTCCCCCAGAGACACTGAACTCATTTCTTCAAGTATCCCAGTTAAGACTCAGCAGTTGATGTTCTTTCTACATTTCCCCCCTGGAACTAACCTTTTCCTTGGAATTAATCTCCTTTTCTCTACAAAGTTTCTTTATTGTCTGTATTCTTTTCTCTTTGGTTATTGTATTTCCTTCAGCAACATGCATCTCCTTGGTTCTACTGTCATGAGCCAAAGTCCTCTCTTCTTGGGACAATTTATTTTCTTCTTTCATAGTTTCTGTCTCTTCTTGTCCCCCCTACTTAATTATCCCAGTGCCTTCGTTGGCTTTTGCATTTTCTTTCTTAGCAATATACCTCTCTTTCTTGTGTACTGTCTTCTTCAGTTTCTTTTCTAATTTCTCTTTCTCGTGGCCTCTTCCCCTTTTTTCTTGAAACTGTTTCTCCATTTCAGCAACCTGTACCTCTTCTTGGGACAGTTTCCCCTTTTCCTGGGACTCTTTTTGTTTTTTAAATCTCTTTTCTCTGAGTCCACTTTATTTTCCCCCTCAACTATTTCCTTCTTTTTCCCGGCCAGTTTCTCCTTTCTCTTAGCTTGTTTCTTTTTCCATGGCCTGCTTCCCTTCCTTGCCCTTCCCTTCCCTTTCCCTCCACACCCCCCATCTCTCCATCATTTTCTCCTCTGCTGGGACCCAGAGACTGTTGTTTTATTTTCTCAACTTCTTCCTTCACTTTTTGAACCAGTGTCTCCTCTTCACAGGCCCAATTCTTTTTTTTCCTGCTTCTTTTCTCCCCAGGCCCATGGGCTTGTTCTTCTTTCTGTGACCTTTCTTCATTTTTCTTGCCCTTTCCTCCTTTTCTAGGTCCACTTTCTCTTTTTCCCAAGGCTGTTGAATCTTTTCTCCAATATTCTTTCTGGGCCCTTTTCACCTATTTCTAAGATTTTCTTATCTTTTTCCAGGCCTGTTTATCTTCTTGTGACAATTTCTTCATTTCCCCAAACTTTTCCTCTTCCCCTAAGTCCAGTTTCTTTTCTGGGCTAAATGTTTTTTTCTTCTTTTCTTTCTGGTCTTTTTTCTTTCATTCATTCTGTTTCCCAAGTTGTTTTTTATATTCTTGGATTTGTTTCTTTTTATGGAGCTCTTTTTCCTCTTTTGCAAACCATTTCTTCTTTTCTCAAGCCAAATTATTATCTTGCTCTGCCAAACTCTATCTTTATGATGCTTGTTTTCTGTCTTCCTCAGACAATCCTTCCTCTATAGACATATAATCCAGGGACAATGTACCCAATTCCCATGCCTCTTCCTCTCCTTTCTCTTCTTCCTCTTCCTCTATAGGTGTTTCTCTTTTCCTCAGCTGTGTTTCTTCTTTTTGTGGGACTGTTTCTTCCTTTCTCCAACTTATTCCTCTATATCCAGGATTCCTTCTCTTCCTCACCCAGTTTTGTTTTTTTTTTTCTTTTGGTACCAGGGATTGAACTCGGGTCCTTGCACTTGCAAGGCAGGCCACCCAACTGCTGAGCTAAATCCCAGCCCTCCAGATCACTTTCTTTTTTTTCCAAGTAATTTCTTCTTTTCAAATTTGTCTCTTTTCTTCTTGGACTGTTTTTCTTCTTTGGACTGTGGATGATCTTTTAAGAAAGCTTTCTTCTTGACTTTTGGAGAAAATTTCACGTTTCTTAATCACTTTTTTAGTCTCTTGTTCTCTCAATACTACTGACCATGACAGCCCCTTTAACCATATTTTTTGTTTTGATATGTGGTTCTCCATTATGTAATTTCAATGAAAATGGGCTTGGGTCCTTTAAAAGGAAACAGATCTCTTTGGACTACAAGTCAGCAAGCACAACCTGAGCCAGATCTACCAGTTCTTTGCCCAGAAGCTTTAATATTCCTGGATAGGCGCTGAGCTAAATCCCTGACCCTGTTTGTTTGGTTTTTGGAAGCAAAACATTTATTTAAGCAAAACATTTTAGATATACATAATAACATTCATCACAGGAAGTTTGTACCTGTACTAATATATCTTGCTGCTGCTTTTTTCCCATTCTTCTCCCCTCCCTTCTACCATTCTTACTATCCTTATTTACAAAAGCTTTGTTTCCATTTATTCCTTCTATTCTCTTTTTTGTCCTTTCTTTTTCTCCTCCCCCTTCCCTTGTTCTCCTTCTCATTTGAACATTTTCTTCTCATTTCTGAATATCTATTATACATTTTGGTTCTTATTTCCATTTTCAGTTTGTCACACCAGAGAAACAATGTGATATCTAAACACGCCTGTCCAATTTATCTCACTTAAGAGAATGGTCTCAGGGCGCATCCATTTAGCTTGAAATGTCTCAAGCTTATCTTTCTTTATGGCAGAGCAGTATTCCTTTGTATTTTTTTAAAAAACCCAAATCTTCTCTATCCATTCATCAGTTGCTGGGCATTTGGCTATTTCCAAGATTTAGCTATTACAAACTGTGGTGCTATAAACATGGGTGTGCATATATTGCTGTGGTATGATGCTTTTAATTCTTTTGGGCAGATACCAAGAAGGGAAAGAGCTGAGTCAATTGGAATCTCTAGTTTCAGTTTTTTGAGGAATCTCCACAATGATTTACAGTAGTTACATCTGTCTATACTCCTACCAACAATGGGGAAGGATTCTTTTTTTCCCCACAGCCCAGCCAGCATCTGTTACTGGTTGATTTCTTGATAGTGGCCATTCTTTCTATAACGAGGTGGAATCTCAGCATTGTTTTAATTTGCATCTCTCAAATGATCAGTGATGCTGAACATTTTTTCATATATTATTTGGTGTTTCTTCTTCTTCATCTGAGAAGTGTCTATTCATTTCAGGTGCCCATTTTTGGATTGGGTCATCAAATTTGGGGAGCCTGAAAAATGTGAAATCACAACAGATCCTGAAGAAATCCAGTAGATCATCTATTTTATACCTAATTTGAGAACCTATATTCTAATAATAAGGAGAACGCAGAAGAAATGGACAGATTCCTAGATATAGATATATATAGAGATATACATCTATATATATGAATTATCAAAGCTCAATCAAAAAGATATAAAGATTCTGAATAAAAGAATATCAGTCAATGAAATTGAAGATGTAATTGAAAACTTACCAACAGAGAAAAGTACAGTCCCTGAAAGATTCACAAATGAATTCTACAAGAAATTTAGAGAAAACCTAATCCCACTACTCAAACTCTTTAATGAAATTGAAAGGGAAGCAATACTCCCAAATTCCTTCCTAGAAGTAGGCATTACCCTGATACCTAAATCAGAGAAAGAGCCAACCAAAAAAGAAACTACAGGCCAAACTTCTTATGAACATAGGTGCAAAAATCTTCAATAAAATACTGGAAAACAGAATTTAGCAAATGATCAAGAAGATTATGCACCATGACCAAGGTAGACTCATCCTAGTGTTGCAGGGATGGTTCAACATATGCAAATCATAAATGTAATACACCATATTAACAGAGTCAATGACAAAAGCCATATGATCCTCTCAGATGCAGAAAATGTGTTTGACAAAGTCCAACACCCACTCATGATTTTAAAAAACCCTACAGAAAATTGGAATAGATTGCCTTTATCTCGGTCTGATAAAAGCCATCGATGACAAACAGCCAGCATCATACTAAATGGAGAAAAACAAAGCTTTCACTCTAAAATCAGGAGCAAGACAAGGATGTCCACTGTCCTTGCTCTTAGTCAATATAGTTCTGGAAACATTAGACACAGCAATTAGATAAGAGAAATAAAAGAGATAAGGATGGGATCAGAAGAAGATAAAGTATTATTTGCAGATGACATGATACTCTACATAGAAGACTCCAAAAACTCCCCAAAAGATTTCTAGATTTAATAACCAAATTCAGTAGTGTACTTGGATACAAAGTCAACACTCAAAAATCAATAGCATTCCTAAAGAAGCTAGAATTTATATTGTCCCATTTTCTTAAGTATATCCACTTCTTTATGCCTTTTGTCATTGGGCATGTTTTTCAGATACATTGCTATCTGGGCGTTCTCCTCCAGCACTGTCCAGTATCAGTTTTCAAATGATTCTTTGGACATAACAAAGCTTTAATGTGTGGATCTGCTTGCAG